AACAAAGACTTATTGAATACATTTGATCAACAAAAACGCTTTATTTTCATTTCCCTCGCTTGACTACATAATACATTGCAAAGCGCACGCGTTTTCAATCCAAATTAAGCTGTCTTTTTTATTTCTCAAACCAAGTGACTTTATGATCAAAAATAAATTTCTTAAAAGTAGATGTCTTAATGTACTCTTGGATCGCAGCTGGTCCATAATAGATTCGAGTACTTCTTGATGACGGCTAATGCGAATAAACAGACTTGCGCAAAAATTAGCACTGGCTCAATTATGTTTATACCTACTGATCCCACAGAAATTTAAAAAATAATGCTACTGATGAAGGACGAAGCAACACCAAGCTGGGAAAAAATAACTACAAAAATACTGATAGGTAATTTAGATGCTCTAGTTGGTCCTTTATGCTATTTATATAATTTATAGTCTAGAAACCGGTATTTTTCTGAATGTATTCAATCAAGCTATCGTAATACAAATTAACAAAAACAGGAACAAGACTATAGACCTATTTATTTACAAACTAAAGACCCATGGCAGTTAAGTGCACTATATAAAAATTTTGAAAAATGAGGTAGTGAATGAAAAACAATAAAATTATTATAGGAAAGAAATATCATCTCACGTAATCAATATGACTTCCGTGAAAATAAAACTACAGAATATGCTCTTCTAAAATTTTCTACATTAGTACAAACTATCTAGATGGTAATAAACATTGCATGGGTGTATTTCTCGACTTGCAAAAAGCTTTTGACACTGGATCTTCTAAAACATGATTAAAGCCCATAGTAGTTAGGAAAACATGGTGTCGCACTTGCTTGGTTGAAAAATTAATATTTCATGGATAGAAGCCAACAAATTGAGGCTATGGACTATGTTTGCGATTTGGCAATTTGTAGCTTTGGTGTTTCTCAAGGAAGTACACTCGTTCCAATGCTTTTTCTGACATATTTTAACGATATTTGGGATATAAAACACTATGGAACAGATGTGCTTATGCATTCGGATGACAATATTTTAATTTTTCATCGTGAAATATGAATATGTTATATAATAAGTGAACGTGAAAAATAATAATGTTCAAAAACAGCTCGGTTTAATATCTAAAAATTAAATATGTATTTCAGTATAACAAAGGCCTCCAGTCCCCAAAAAATGACAGCAAATCAACCGCGATTGCTGCTAGCGCATAATTATGCGTTGCTCTATGCAATCAAACAACATAACATCACTTACGAACACTCGAAATGGTAAAGCAGATATATTATTCATAGCTGAGAACGCAAAAATAGCGTATTATACAATTAGTACGCTGTTTTCGCGTTCTCAGCTGTCATGTATGCATTGTAAACGTCTAGTTGTCTGACAGTGGGATAAATTCAAACTGCAAAATCTCCTATCAACAGTGTTCCTTTACGTGCGCAAAGCAATTCAAGTTGAGACGTTGCCAATCCACCAACGCGATTGGTAATTAAATTTAAAAGCCAAACGGGTGCGAATTAAAATAAGACGATTATTGTATTTTTATGTGAGAAAGTGTCAAGCAAATTCCGGTTACCTCGAAGTATAATACTCCCACTTCACGCCGTTGTTCTGTAAGGTCGTGATACTTTCCCGGACGGCCTAACAGCAGTGCAAAATGCAAAAGCTGTCCGCAGACCTAGCATAGTGAAAAAATCATGAATATGGTAAATAAAGATTTTATTTAAAAAAAAACCTTCAAACCCTATTTTTAATGCATGTTAATTATGAAGTCAATCTTCAAAAAGATCAACTAACAAAAAACGAAAAAACAAATCCTACTGCAAAAGCTAATGTAAGTATGAAAGGGACGAAAGTATTACCAAACTCCATTAGCACTATAGCGAACTGATTAAGTGATTTGATATAAACATAGCATTTATGTTGCGGTTTCATATTTCTACGTCGAATATAGGTAAAATTGATTACAATCTAAATGACAAAACACATGAAAAATATTGGTCTATTGCTTACTCTTGCATTGAAGTACTAAAACAAAGAATGTATGTGCTGCCCGCTACTTGTATAATAACAAAAGAAAATAATAAATAATTCCACCGCGAGTCGATTTAAAACTTCTTTGAGTTACATATGTATATAATTCATGACATGAATTCGTTATTCACATTAGAATAGCCAGACCAATGAAATCTTGTGTAACTTGAGAACGCGAAAACTCCTTCGGTATTTTGTTCTTAATTAAACTTTCTAATGTTTCAGAAAGGGATGGTAAACATGCATTACCAAAACCAGTCGGAAGTGGACGTGGCTTTGAGACTGCTTTGGAGCATACAGAATGCTTTAGGCATCGTATCAGTCCGTTTCGAGAAACGTGGCTCCGGGTTTGCCGCTTATTCATCAAGCTCACACAGAGTATATGGACCTTTATTATCTATAATCGCAAGTAAGTAAGATTAAAAAATGCATTTAACCGTTTGTGAACCGTGATTTGAACACAGGTTACTCGAGCACATTAGGGTACAAAGTATACTTGGTACTCTTATATTATAAGAAAACATCCAGATGTTTTCTTATAATATAAGGGTTCCAGACCCTACGAGTGTTGCAAATGTCCATGGGCAGGTTATCACTTAACATCAGGTGATCCGCCAGCTCGTTTGCCACTCTCTCTCATAAAAAAGAACGATCTATAGAATTATCCAGCATTGAGAGTCAACAGTATATTATAAGTAATATGCGTGTATTGGCCCTTCCATTTCAATCAGTTTGAGTGTGTAATGGATGATGTCCTTAAAAAACTATGTTCAAGTAATAGTTATAAAAATCAGTAATAGTTTGTGGAGATTTTAATGTGGATTATTACAATTGACACAACTTAGTAAACGACTTTTAAATTTATTTAGTTCATTCAAACTAAAATGCTTTTTATGAACTAACTCATGTTACTTACTTATCACGTAAAGTTTATTTACCCTGCCAATTTGTCGCAAACGCACCAATATCATTTTGATGCTAACATCAGAAGCCGCTGCTATCTCGGCTGTAGATTGAGTATCATCAGCGTCAACTTCAATTTTCAAGTCAAAATTTCCAGAACGGAACCAGGCAAAACAAAAAGTATCCAAGTAAAGAAAAAGCTAATCAATAAGCAAAAGAGTGACTTTACAAAAAGATTTTCATACTTTTAAAACAAAATTAATTTCAATTTCGAATTCACAGCCAGCCAAGCCTTTTTTTTTTTTAATGGCCAGTACTAAAAATTATATAGCAATTTCATAGGTAAAGACCTATTAAAATAAAAGTGATCCATTTTGTCTGGTATAGCTCATTACCAAACCCGAGCCCAAAAGTTGATGACTTGGCAATGCAACTGCAAACCATCAAGCGTTGTGAATGTCACAATGGAATGGATGGCGCGCTAAGATTGTAGTCTCTTAACATTGGGTAAAATGCCTCCTCGTGTACCACCTTCTAAAAAAAGATTAAAATTTGTGCCTAATGTGTTTTTAAAAAAAATATTATGTGTTCATTTTTATATTTTCAGGTACGCTTGTGGGCATTGCCATTATTTGGGATTGTTTTATCATTGATTTGAGACACAAAGTGCAAGTGCATTCATTCTCCTCGATGAGTTTTACAATGATCGATTTATCTATAACCTTGGGTCATCACATCTTCAGAGCATTCACAGCATTGACCAAATTAAGCAATATAATATTCACACTCAATAGCATTAAAATGGTGTGTTAAACAGTGAGCCTTTAAAGGTTTAAATAAGTATAACGATGATTCTATTGAAAAAAAACTATAGTGGGGTTTTTAAATCAAATAACTTATCTAGCGTATCAACAAATTTCGTACTGTAGTGAATTTTACAATTTTCTTATTTCAGATTCAACGAAAAGCAAATATATTAAATGATAGAAAGACGGAAACAAACAACTTGCACACTTTGCTCATAACCTTAACAAGTTTTTCCATCGCAACTTCTTTCCACATCTGGAATGTTTTAAGTGGTAACAAAAAGCGATTAGATCAATGTATGTTTCATGTGTTCATAAGTTCTCTGTTTTCTATTTAACTGATCCAATTCAGGTTTAAATTTATTAAAGCTAATTGTGCTTTCAGCTATAATTTCTGGAATGTATTTAACGGCATATCTAGGACACTTCGTCTTGTTGCTTCAACAATTCGAGTTTTCATTTATAGCAAACATTTTACACTCAACACTGCGTGATATCAACCATAATATTGATAGCATCGTTGGGGGAATGAAATCAGGTTAAACATGTTTATGTCAATATTTTGTTTCTACAGCTGATTTACAGTCATGTAGGGGGCAAGGCAGTTTTCTTAATTTCGCTTACTCCTTCAGGTCTTTAAAAAGATTTAAACTAAGAATTAAGTTCTAGCGCTGAGTAGCGCACTGAAGTGTGATTGACGTTGTCAACTTTTCACCGAGCTTATTTAATCCAAAATACTGTCAAATTTCGCTATCCGGCAGTGAGCGTTGTGTATAAAAATCCGCAAAACGGAAAAGTCATTGATGCATGGAATTTAACGTCTAATTCGTCACCTTAAAACAACATGTCCCATGTTGTCATTATATGAGACAAAAATTTAAATGTATATATACATAAATACATAAGTGGAACCAAAGAATATCTTAAGAGGACATCTAAGTCAAAATTAGGTAATATTGTAAAAAGACTACCTGCCCTTATCCCATCTACGTACAGTCATCGCCATAAAGATCGCCCCAGTGATAGTTTACCAACATGTGAATGATGTTGTTAATGGTGTTAGCTAGGTTTTTTACGACCAACCGCTATAAACACTACCCTTATCTTATTACAAATGTACTCTATCAATCAGCTGGACATGACAAACTGACATAGTAACTATTAATTTATGTCTGCTAGCTTAACCTCTGCACGCTCCATATAAATAAATTACATTACAATGTATTTTTACGCTCTATTGTAGCTTTCAAATATTTATCAGGTATGCTGATGAACGATTCCCGCAAGCTACACGAACTCATGCAATCGTTTATTCAAGTTTGTGATGTAATCAGCGAAGTGAAGAGATACGAGAGTAATTATTTATTACTAATTATGGTGGAGATTATATTTCATATACCAGTTGTTCTATACAAGTTGATCGTATCTATAGGTTTGACAGGTACTTTGATATTAGTTTTTTCTTAACAGGTTACATTTCATTTACTATACCAGCTCCTACGTCGATAAAGTTTGATTACCCATCCTCGTTTTTATGAAGTTCTTCTATTGGCGCATGTGGAAAAAAATTATGAGAGTAATTTTTTTACAAAGAGCGCGCGCACCGATAGCCAAAAAACGACTTTATGAAGTTGCTTGCAAAGCGACAAAGTATATTCTTGAAGCAATTTCACGCGCCAGACATTTTGCGTGTTTTTTGCTCTATGATCTTACGCAGTCTTGCCCAGTGTTTATTATTGAACATGTTACGATAAAGAAGTTCCACGAGGTGTAAGAGGACTGTATTTTAATACACAACTGCATTTCCTTTCTAGGGTTCAGGTTCAAAAAGTAAAATGGGGTCCTATTACTAAGACTCCGCCGTCTGTCTGTCTGTCCATCTGTCACCAAGTTGTATCTCATGAACCGTGATACTTAGACAGTTGAAATTTTCACAGATTATGTATTTCTGTTTTCACTATAACAAAAAATATACAGGGCTCTCATACAACAGTTTATAAATTTATGTCGTTTTTATAGAAAAGGATACAGAGTCCTTCGTGCGCGAGTCCAACTCGCACTTGGCCGGCTTTCAAAAATATACCTCAGTTAAGCTTCAATATGATACTCCCTGTCAAACCATGAGTGACGATGGAAAATCTCGCAGGACACGCAGAATCAGGCTGCCTCATTCCTCGTCATTCTGGGTGTACCATGGTTCTACTACCCCATCTGGAGTCTCAACAGTTTCTAGATACACGTGGAATTTATTTGGATTCGCGCCCCCGTAGCTATTATCACTTCTGAAGTCCATTCTAACATTCTGAGGGCGACCATTTCTTTTTCTTTCTTCTACACTTTAATTTCAATTAAATCGTTTGATGGGGCGATAAACGAATCTTCTGGTTATGTTCAATATTTCAGTAGATCGAAAATCTGATTTGGCGAGTAACCGCACCGATGCAAAGCGATAACCGCAACTCGGTCTTCTTTAAGCGCCCAATCTATATTTAAAATGAAATGGAATTCGAAATAGTGCACATTTTGAATAAATTTTTCAGCTCGGTAAATATTCATGTCGAATTCAATAAATATTTAGGTGGTCAGTGTCAAAAATTCATAAGTTTGCAACAAAACTTATGATGGGATTAAGCATAATTTAAGTTATTAGATAACGATTCGATAACAACAATAGTTGTTATTATAACAACAATATAAGAGAATCCCAAAAGTATATCTACATAGGCTTTCAAAAAATATAACACCGGTCACCACAAATTTTTCCCTGTATAATATTCAGAAGGCTCTTAACCAAATAATATCCAAATAATAACAGTCTCTAAAAGTATTAACACACACATAACTTCACAGGTAAGGGCATCAACAAAAATTCCTTGACAGTCCTAATCGAGCTCTCTATTTGGGCTATTCACCTGCTTATGCGACTAAAGACCATCGTTGGACCATGCTACCGAACAGTAAATGAGGTTATCAAAATTTATTAATTTATTTAAAACTTTATGCACAAAAAAACACTTTGTACAAAGGCGAGCTTAATGCCAAATATACTCATACACATTTACGCCTAAGTTATCTTTTATCTGGAATTTGTATCATTAAGTATTAACAATCTGTCGCATCATTTAACAAAGTTCGATTTCCAACTGATGATCGTACAAAAAAGCAACATAATTATGACGTACATTTCTTATTTTTCTGTGAACAAAAATAAAAAGTTGTCTCTGAATCTTCAAAAATATGTATGATTAACTGATAAATATTGTTTCAATTCAGGTCAATCAAACCAAATCGATATTGTGTCAGCTCATGTGCCGCGTGCCACAAGACGACGTGGTTCTCGTTAAGAAGTTGGACCTCTTTATGTACAATGTACTTCTTCTCAATCCTCAGTATACTTGCAACGATTTGTTAACTTTGGATCGGAGCTTAATTATTAAGGTACCTACTATTCAACGTAATGTTCAACATGATAAATGTTGATGAAGTCATAGATATTTATTCTTTAATGCCCTAGTACTATCTACAATCACTATTGAATTGACGACCTGTGCATTACGTTCTGACAAACTTTACACAAGGACGGTTGTTAGGACAAGGCGGATTGGTGAAAATTAACAACTTGGTTAATTTTCACCAATATATGAAATAGTTAGACTTTAGTGAATAATATTTTTGTTAACGATATCTTTGGAATTCAATTTGATAACAATCCTTCTTTTCAGGTTATCGGCGTTGCGGCTACTTACGTAAATATATTCATCGAATTTCAGTTCAGTTCCACTTAAGTCATTGTTTGTTGTCATCGGAGAATTAATAAATAAGTACATGATATGTAAGAAACTACATAGATATTAATTGGCTTTAACACTATAAAAACTTTATAATAGGACATTAAAATAGATGAAGTGTTCAATATTAAATACAACTGTTTTAACTGATTTATCGCGTTAATTTTAAATTTAAGGTCCAGACGGTACGAATGGCATTCGTGGCATCGCCCTCAATCTCATTGCCTCTTACCTTAGTAATAGAATTTAAAAAGTATCTATAAATGATGTTAATTCCACTGGGTCCCCGATGAAAATGGGTGTCCCACAAGGATCAATCTTGGGCCCATTATCATTTTTAGTATATATTAATGATCTCCCCTTTTATGCCAGTGGGTTGTGTGATGTTGTACTTTTTGCTGACGATACATCGCTAATTATGTTATGACGACATGAATAGTGCACTTTCACATATCCTCCACTGGTTTACTATTAATAATATGGTATTAAATGCCAAAAAAATTATATGTATTCTTTTTACCCTTCCCAGTATAAGAAGGAAAAGTTTGAGTTTAATATTAAATAACGTACCCATTAATCCATTTGAGTCTGCTGTATTTCTGGGAATTACAGTAGATTCAAAGCTCCAATGGAGTCCCCATATAACATCTCTTACGAATAGGCTGAGCTCCGCTGTTTTTGCGATTAGAAGAGTTAATCAGCTAACAGACATCTACACTGCCAGACTTGTTTACTTCAGTTAGTTTCACAGCATCTTGTCGTACGCCATTTTGTTGTGGGGTAGTGCATCAGATACAAATTCTATATTTATTCTTCAAAAAGAGCTGTCCGACCAATCTACAATATCGGAGCCCGACATTCACTCAGAGATCTTTTCAGAGGTTAATATACTCACTGTTGCTTCTCAATACATTTATTATAATATTTTGTATATACGTCATAGCCTTAATTATTACCTAAAGAATAGTGACAGACATAAAATAAACACTAGAAATAAGGACAAACTTACTACGCCATTGTTTCGTTCACAAAAAGAAAATAGCTCGTTCATGGGGCAAAGTGTGCGCATGTATAATAAAATCCCACAGTCGATATTAAGTCTGTCGCTTGAACAATTTAAGTGAAGTTGAAGTGAGTCTATTTGAATAAATATATTTTTGATTTTGATTTTAATTTTGAATGATTTTCACCATTCAAGGTTACGGACTAGACTGAATCGCTAGACTTCCAGCCTTACGCCTTGGGATTCTATAGTTAATATAATTTAATCTAGACCCATGCACACCACAAAGAACTGTAAGAATTCAATCAGCTGACAAAACTGGATTTCTATCTGTTAATCGATAGCCGTTATCACCTGTAACAATAACGTAGTTTTTCATAGACTTAATTCTAGATTATTTTCCACAAGGACAGTACCACGTATCAAGAATTAATAGACAATCTCCATAATACTGAATTGTCATTATTAATATTAAATGCTAATAATATAGCAATCTTGAGGATATTGTTCCACAGTAGTTCCTCTAACGGCATCTAGATTGAGTGGGGGGTTTCATGTTATCTTTGTTCTTTGAGTGGTTTTACTGGTTGACGCTAGTTTCTTTATTCTTTGTGTGTTCGTAACAATATGTTCATTTGCAGATCCACATATTATAGTGATTGCACTTGTTTAATAATTATTTAGGAGTGGCCCATAACTTTTCGAATACTAACAGTATTGGAAAAGTTAAACTTATAAAATTTTTCGTTAAATTAACTAAAAATAATAGTATATGAAAGAACTAAGTTTTAACTAGTGCTACATAATTCCAGCAAATAGCTCTTTGTACTATTGCTACATAAAGGATTGTTGTTTTGTAATTTTACCTTAGATGAGTGCCGACAGTATATACTATTGAGTTGAGACAGTTTATATTCTTGTAAAGCCAGAACCCATACATCAGCAGGAACCCTTCTGCTGAATAAACTGTTATAAATAAACAAGAACGAAGAGTGTTCGCAAAACACTGTTAAGGTGACAAAAAAGATAGTTACCTATTGAGATGTGTTACCCCCAAGCCACATTATCTACTCACACTCAAATTGCAGATTGCATGGGCAGTCATGATTAATTAACATCAGGGCTTAAAAGTATTCGTGCAGTCCTCGGTCTGGTGTAGTACTCCCATGTAAGCTGACACCCTGGAATGGCTGAGCAAAACGCTTTTGCTCAAACCACAGACGTTGACTAGTAGGGTGATGTATGACACCATGGCGGACCTCTTGGTTAGCAGTCTTCCTCGAAAGTGAAAACCAAGACCTTCCCGTCATTGCACTACTGCCACTAGGAGGCAAAAGCTTAAGGCCATATTCCACACCGAATGAATTGGGAGCAGATATGTCATTCGCTCAAATACCGTCGGAGAGTGCAGGGCAGAAGCAAAAAGAATGGAGTACGCCAACACTGGTTTGAAAATCTAGGAGGTCGTTTTGTAGGACGTGGCTGGTGGAAGCTAAATGTCACGTACCTTGACCCGAATTCGTCTTTTATTTTATATTTATGTTAGAATGTTGCAAGTGAGCTGTCGGCACACCAGATTTTGAGTGATAACCGTCACCCATGGACATTTTCAACAACTGTACGGTTACGGATGCGTTGGCCCGGGCTTAATGTCTTGAGATGCTGCTATTTCGGGAGGTATCTATTTTGTGTGAATACCGCCCTCCATGGATATCTAAAACGCCTGAGAGGGTGCAGATGCGTTGTTAACTAGTAAAAACGGCCCCGGTTGCCTCAATCACCTAACGAAGTGCAAAAGTATATCACACCCTATTTTCTGAGAAGCTGTGATACTCCCCAGCTTACAGCTTACACTTGTCCATTCCATACATACCTAATTACATACACACTTACATACACACATCTCACCCCGAATGGGTGTGAACAATAACAGAATAGCGCCGTAAAATCGAAAAAGGCATTAATAGAACTGTTTTAGAATGACAGGTTCATGTCGTACGTCACTTATTATAGGTAAATTGTCATCAAGCTGCCTCAATATTGCAAATCATGTCCCTGAAGCGTTCTCTCTTCATTGTATTCTCTATTTGCATAAATCATATCACTCTTGATCTTCGATCTGCATATCATCTTAATGCTGATCGTTCGAACGGGCCAACATTATAGAAATTGTAAACAATATTACGGTGGTAGGGCCACGCAGCAGCCTCGGCTGTTGCATGAATGGGCAGGCCCGTCTGGGTAAGTACCACGACCACACAGAAGACCAGCGTAAAGACCTCACAGAAGACGTGGGGTGTGGCAGATGTCATTAAGCGGCGGTATTCACTTAACATCAGGTGAACCGTCTGCTCGTTTGACAACTTTTCACATAAAAAAAAGATTATAAATGAAACTAATTTTACGGATTTATCGCGTTTATTTTTTTTTTAATTTTAATTCCCGACGTTTCGAACCCTTTACAGCGTTCATGGTCACGGGACAGACTGAGGTGTTAGACGTCTGATTGTCATAGTTAGCCCAGGCTACCGTCAGTTTTTCGAATTATTAGTTGTTCAATCTATTGTGTTTTATGTCATAAACAGACCAGAGAAGAAGGTTGGGTACTAACCAACCCAACCTTCTTCTATGTCGTCTATCACCTCAGTCTGTCCCGTGACCATGAACGCTGTAAAGGGTTCGAAACGTCGGGAACTTAAATTAAAAATAAACGCGATAAATCCGTAAAATTAGTTTCATTTATAATGTGGAATCGCGTAAATACAAGAAATTATTAAAAAAAAGATTCTAAAACATTTTCGTAATCCAACATGATTATAAATATTTTGTATCTTTCCAATTTCAGTTAGTTTGCGCAACTTCGTTGCGCTCTACCGCTCCCAGTTGCTATTCGAGAGAAATGCACCTCATATCCGCAACCATATTGCAACGATCCGCCAACCCGATAGAGCCATTGAAAAGTTTTATTGAGTTGAAAATTTTCCGGTGATATAGCGAAATTCCAATAAGAAATGTCTTGAGCAGAAATAGCTTAAGTACACTGGATAATCAGATAAAGTTTGATTTATTTGTTTATACTTCAATATCTTATAAACGAGGTTTTAGTTTAATTCATTCTGAAAATTTTACTTATACATATCATGTGTTTTTCTTACAAAATCGCCAATATTAATTCAAAAAATAAATAGCATACATCCTATACGTATGCTAGATACTAGGGAGACGATATGGTGTGAGAAGATCTGAGAAATGTGTAATCTATAATCTCTGCTTACCCCTGTTTTGCCAAACGAGCAGACGGTTCGCCTGATGTTAAGTGAATACCGCCACCCATGAACATCTGTTACATCCGGGGATTTGCAAATGCGTTGACAACCATTTCGGAAATTGGGCTCCGGCTACCTCACTCGCCAGACGAAACGCGAAAGTATTATACTTCCACTTTACGCTGGTATTCTGTGAGATCGTGGTACTGACCCGGACGAGCCAGCCCATTCATGCAACAGCCGAGGCTGCCGCGTGGCCCTACCAACCTGAATAGTTTATAGTATGGAAGGTTTCATGGTAAATTTATGAATTATATACATTACTATACATTTGTAGATACAATATTCTACTTAATAGTGTAAAGGACAGCATTGAATTGGCTATTCAGCTCGGTTCGTCTATTCATGCCAGAAACTGCACTAGTTCGGAACAACTTTATACAAGGTTTCGTTTGCCGCATATTATGCATTTTGTATGTTTCAGTTCGACATCGCATTGCGACGGAATGAGTATGTTTTATAATGTATGATAACCATGCATATGAAGACGCTACGTAGTACTATTATAGACCAGGATAGATAACTTTTGTAACCAAAAAAAATTACAGTAGAATGAAACTTATTACTAAAGGAGGGGAATATGATAAAAATGGCAAAACTACAAGGCCTATGGAAAAAAGTTAAATGGTA